GCCAATATTTTCCATTTCGTATCTGACCTAAGTCTGATATAAATATTATAGGGTGCCAGAATAATGCTATACTGACTACTTCCCTCGCTTTGTATGAAATATGTGATAATATTTGGAAAATGTTCAAAATACTCGTAAGGTACCATGTATAGTGGACCGAAGTATTTCACTTCATCTAATAAATATAAAAATATTGGGGCGTGAAAAATTTAAAGAAAATCGAACATTAATTACCAATTTTATGCGAATAATTTTTAATCAATTTTTTAACATTTTGTTGGGGAGGGAACGAGAAGGAGTGGCTTATATACTCCATATTACATCAGATCTGTGGTTAGGAAAATATTTTGATACTCCAATAATATCCCACTCATTTTTGATAACAATCGGAATATTATTTCGCATTTTATGAAAGATATAATTATTTAAAGTTTTGTGCCCTTGTTGGGGAGGTACCAGAAGGAGTGGACCAATGTTGTCCATTTCCGAATTCGATCTAAGTTTATAATAATATTACCATAAACCAAGTTTTGACCAAATCGGATACTCCCTTAAAAAGGTAAGGCTGGCACAGCAGCCAAACATACAGACTAACGGACGGTCACCCCTAGATAAACTTCAAATGTCCTGAAACTGATTTATGATAATCAGCATAAAATTCGATTTAACGATATCTGTCTGTATGTCTCTCTGTCTGTTTAAATCACGATACAGCCCACATTATTTGACGTAGAGAGTTAGCAGAACAATTTGTCACATTGCCACCTTTTTCCACGATTTTGTGTCTAGGATGGTTGGTATTGAAAATGCTCCCGATATTCTTATTTTGACGATTTTTGCCAACTGTTGTCTTAAAGTTGGTATTTGTGGGGTAAATGGGTTCTAGCTTGTGTGCATAGGTTCACGTTTTGGTATAGCCCCCATACAACGGTACCTCTCGATATTCGGTGTTTTGATAATTTTTGCCACATTTTTCCACGAATTTGTTCAAAAATTGATATTTATAGGTCATAATGGATTTTAGCTCCGGTGGCGAAACATTATATACATAGGTCCACGATTTTGTATAGCTCCATATAAAGGTATCTTGATGATTTTTACCACATTTTCCACGATTTTGTCTAAAAATTGGTAATTGGGTTCAAGCTCCGGAGGCTTGACTTTTATGTATAGGTCCACGTTTGCCTATGGCGCACATATAACGATACCCACCGACATTCGGTATTTTGATAATCCTAGTCACATTTACCCACGAAATTATTTCAAATTTGGTATTTAAGAAGATTTGGTAGATGACAATCCTTGATGTATAAAATTGGCTATAGAGGTTCCCGTTTTGGTATGGCCCCCATATAACGACCTCACTCACTTCATGTTTTTTTGTCTTTTTTATTTTTTTAATTTAACAGTATTTGTAGTTTAAAGGGAACACGTTTAAATTCAGTTACTTTTATATATAAATGTTTTCTTTACCCAAAGTTGGAGGGTATCAAAAGTTCGGCCCGGACGAAATTGATGTTTTTTTATTTGTTTACTTATAACATCAAATGTGGTTTTCAACACATAATTTCACTTATTTAATTGTATTATTGTCACAAATATGATCCATTTTTTGGAAGAAGTAACAATTTGAGAAATAATTAAACATGCCCAAAAATGAATTCAAAGGAGAATATACACAGCGAAGTCACCAAAGAACACCTCAAGAAATGCCGGAATTTTTTGACTTTATAATAAATGAATAAAAGTCTTGATACGAGCTTGGATTGAATCATAGTTTTACTTTAGCATCAGACGAAAAACTAACCTACGACTAATCCAAGTGTAGACCAAGAGAACTTTAATCGATTTGATGATCAGATATTATGAAATCTATTAAAATTTAAAAAAGATATGACATATTTTAAATTATTTCTTAATAACTAAACATAATGCACTTCCTACTACAAATTAGAGTTTTTGGCATGTCGGCATCTTTAATTTGGAAATATTTTCAATTTGAATTATAGCTAAATTATTAATATAAATCAATAAAGCATATCTGCACAGACTAAAAAAGAATTTGAAGCTTTAACTCGATCACATGGCAAAACATTGAAGTTTTTAAAATATTCAGTAGTGCGAATGCGAATAGCAACAATAAATATTAAATTTTCTGCTGTTGTCGTCATCTATTGTATATGCAAATTTCGGAATATGTTAGTTTTATTGGTGATTAGCTAACAGATGGTGTTTTTTATTTGTTTTATATTAAATGCATTTATTTCGGTTTACTAAAATTATAACAGAATACAATTAAATAACATATGTTTGTTTATATATTAATATAACCGAAGTTGACAAGTTTCCTATAATTAACGTGTCGAGGCTCCTAGTATTTTCAAAATATAATCTGATTTCTTAATTGAATTTGTCCCGATTTTCAAAATATAATCTGATTTCTTAATTGGGTTTGTTAAGATTTGCACTGTTTGTTGGATATTTAAAATTAGACTTAACGTTTGAGGTCAATGGGCTATAACCCCAAATAAATTTCGAGTTTTACCCTTGGTATAACCATAAGTACCTACAATAGTTAAAATGTCTGACAACTTTTGCCATAATTACAGTAAAAATGCAAAAGATTATGAAAGTGCAGCTAAAAATAGAAGACACTTGTATGTGCGTTTTGAATGCTTACATCACAAAGCAACCTATTAGAGGAAATGTTTGTTTGCGGTTGTAAGATTTAGAAGATTTCCCAAAAGAATTTTAGTTTTATGTAATCTTCTATTCAGCTTACGATCCCGCAACTTGGGTGAATAAAAATGTTTGTCACAGAAGTTGTTTTTAAAATAATTTCTGGGGAGAATATCCCAGACAAAAAACAAGGGAACTGATGAGCCTGCCTTACCCCCTGGTAAACATTACCATCATTCTCCACTAATAAACAAATGTTATTTTTATAAAAACAACAATAAAGGCATTAAGCCTGACCATTTTGCAACAACAAAATACCATGGCATCCCGAACAAACAAGCCGACATAGGAACCAATTTATTTATTATTTTTTATACCCTCCACCATACTATGGAGGGTATATTAACTTTGTCATTCCGTTTGTAACTCCTCGAAATACTTATGTATGGCCCAACAAAGTATATATATTCTTGATCATCGTAAAATTCTATGTCAATTTAGCGATGTCCGTCTGTCTGCCTTTGTCTTTCGAACGAATCGATATAATAGGCTAAAATTTCGCAGACATGTTTATTTTGCCAGTAGGCAGGTTAAGTTCATAAATGGGCCATGTAAGTCTACGTTTTTATATAGCCCCCATACAACGGTACCGATATTCGGTATTTTGATGATTCCAGCGACATTATTCACCGGAACAAATTTGGTATTTTAAGTTCCAAAGGGATAGTACAGCCTAGGATTTAAGATTTTAACAGAATTTTAACGTTTTTTTGTAATTTCCAAATTCGTTCAAATGGTGGAGGGTATTCAAAGTTCGGGCCGGCCGAACTTACTGCTTTTTAACTTGTTATGTTTGGATTATGAGTCGTTATATTTTGCCAACGAAAATTTGCAACGAATTCGAAGGAAGTGCTAAATTTATCAAAAATAAAAAAATGTTTTTTTTTTTATAAACCAAAATTGGCGATATTTTTATTGTATTCAATATTAAGTATTCATATGTAATATTCTTCAGAGACTCACACACCCCAAATTTTGACTTAGAAACAAGTAAAAAGTGTTTAAGTTCGACTGGGCCGAACTTTTTATACCCTCCGCTTACCAAAGTAAAATAAATCATGAAAAGAGTAGAATATGTTGACTTAGAATATCAATCCATGTTAATTAAAATAAAACAACCCATTTATTATCATCTAATTTGGTTGGAAATTGTGGCAGAAACTTTCAAAAACACCGAAAATCCGGAAGTACCGTTATATGGGGCTATACGAAAACGTAGGCCGACATGACCCATTTACGAATATAACCTGCCTACTAGCAAAATACATATGTGTGTAAAATTGTGTGTGGAAGACAGAAATAACAAATCGGATGAACAACATATATGGGAGCTATAGCTATCCGATTTCGATCAAATTTGGCATACTTATTTTCAGACCTATTTTAGTCGTATTTGCATATTTGGTGCACAAAAAAAGCAAATCGGACGAAGAAATATATGGGAGTTATATCTTAATTTTGACCGATTATCTCCAATTTCAATAGGGTTCGTCCTTGGGTCAAACAAACAATTTGTGCAAAATTTCATCTGGATCGGGCATTAAATGCGACCTGTACTTTGTTTACAAAAATACATGGACAGACGGACGGACAGGCAGAGAGTCGAACGGAAGGACATGCATAAATCGATGATCCTTATGGCATTATAACAGAAACTATGCTGTAAATAAGATAATATTTCCATATATTCCTTATTATTGAGTTTTAGTCTTCTATCAAAACACTGGATTGCATCGGTCGTTGTTCGAAATAACTTTGACATTCAAGCGATTTTTGCCGAATTTCAAGAGGTCAATGTAGACCAGTTAGGAATTTCAATAGAAATATTACGGCATGCAATTTTACACAAAGTTGGTAAAGTATATACAGAAATTAATTTCTTTCAAATTCTTATTCCCAGATTTTAAAAAACATCGAATTTTATATATCATCCTATTGTTAGGAGTTTATCCAACGATTCTCATACTTACGGAACCATTGAAAACTCTCATCATTGAAATGATTGATTTATAACCCAGAGGAAATAATTAAAAAACCATATTTTATTAATAAATATTCACAAATTAAATTATATCACTGAATAATAATTTAAACTATACCAAGCCGAGAGATACAATCTGGTATTAAGGCACAACATATTAATGCTGAATATTTAATAAGTTTCGATGACAATATTTTAAAAAAAGCTTCGCATATTAGTCTATAACCGATATTAAGAAGTATAAAAGTTAAATTTTAGCTGAACAGAAATCATTCTGCTTTCAATTTTTATAGAATAACCTAGAGCAACTGAGAGAAAAATGCGTGCCTTCATTGTTTTGTGTTTGGTGGCAACTGCCTGTGCCCAATCTGGCTACAATTATCAAGCAGGCAGCAGCGGTAATCTTGGATCTGCCTCCAGTGGAGTGCCAAGCTTCGACGCCGGCTCTTCGTTAGGTGCCGGTCCCTCCTTTGCTCCTTCCGGACCCGAATATGGAGCATCAGGTAACTTAGGAGCTGCCTCGAATACAGCTCCTGTTCAAAGTGAACTTGAAAAGGAATTCTATACCTTCACTGCCAACGATGAAGACTTCAATGAACCTGCTGGCTCCAATCAATTTAACAATGCTGTGAAACAGGGACTCCGTGTAATCTTCATCAAGGGTCCCGAAAACAGTGGTTTGGAAGATGCCGCTTTGGCATTGGCCAAACAAGCTGCTGAACAACAGACCGCCATCTATGTCCTTCAGAAACAAGCTGATCTGGCTGATTTGGCCAACAAATTGAACCAAGACAACAGCAATGCCAATCACAAACCCGAAGTACACTTTGTCAAATACCGCACCCCTGAAGATGCAGCCAACGCCCAAAAGGCCATTCAAGATCAATACAATTCCTTGGGTGGTAAATCTCAACACATTGACGGTGGTGTTGCCCCAGCCTTGAATTTTGCCTCTCAGGCCCCAGTTGCTCCTGCCCCTGCTTCCGCTGCTTCGAGCCCTGCTACCAGTGCTACTTACCTTCCTGCTTCAATTTTCCGTCGTTTCCGTTTGTAAGTTTCGATGTAGAGGGTTAATCACTGGGCTGGTTCCGTGGGTGTTATAGTTGTTACGCGTTATTCAATAAAAGAAAATATACGAATTTAAAATAATATTTTATTTGATTTTTATTTTTTATATTTTTTGAAATTTGAAGGGGGCGAGTCTTTTCAAAAACAACTTTTTATTTCTGTTTAACTTCAGGATTGTTTTCGATTTCAGCCCATCTGTGGTAAATAACAACTCGCCAAAAGAAATTAATTTTACAAAAGGTCTTTCCAAGTATAAATAAATGTTGTAAATAAGTGGCTTATCCCCGACATAGATTTTTAAATGAATATAAATTTTTGGAAAAAATGCCTACAATATATTCTATTTTTGATCCTTGTCTCGAGATGATGTGTTCTGTGCAAATTTTTTACAAAATTGAGCAGTTTTTGCGAATTCTCCCTTAACAGTGGAACACCAGAAAAAAAAAAAACAACACAGCCAATTCGAACTTAACCTGAGCTTGATAAAATATAACGATATAAACAAAATAGTAGACCCCTTGCTCAGCAAATGAAGTACATGGTTTTACATTTCTGACCTAAGTCTTATCTAAATATTCTGAAGCGACAAGTTTGAACAGTACATCTCCTTGTGATACTACTTTTTCAAAGAAAAAAACATCTTATAGAACGAAAAGTTGCTCATCGATTTTGTTCAATCTTGTTATATTCAAGTGTTTGAATCAACCTTATGCCAGAAGAGAAAACGAGCGTAATCGGTTTACTTTTTCGGGAACAATGCCGCATTTTTTCAAATTTTAAACAATTATAACTCTCATAAAATACACCGATGTTTATTTCAACATAGTACAACCCAATACTTTCACTTACCATTGATCAAATGTGTATATAGGCTGAAGTGGACGATCCTCTTCAAATATCGCACGTCTAAACATTTTTACTAATTTCTAATTATTTAGTTCCTCTTCCGGAAAGGGTCAAAATTTAATGCTCATAAAATACAAAACCAGTTCTCCATAGTTCTCAAGGTCAAATACACACGGTATACCTCTACAGGGTGAGATGAAAAAACTGCAAACAATTTCATATTGCCGACACTTTTAAGCCACTCGTTCGACAGATGTTAAAATTATTCCAGTGACAGCTCATTATATTGTTTACATGCGCACAAAAGCATTTTGGTGAGAATTTTTCAGAAAATAAGTTATTCGTGATGGATATTCAAGCGCGATAGTGTGATTTCTTTATATTTGGCTGGAAAACGACAAGTTGCTATCGTTAACCACTCAAGCACTACCATCGCTCGTTACCGTGATACTGGTAGCGCAGGCCGACGTCAAGGAAGTGGATGGAAGAAAAAAGCAACATCAGCAGAAATGGTTCGAAAAGTATAGAAGCGATTTGATCGAAACCCTCGTCGCAGAGGACATATCGTAACATTCCATTCGGCAAATATTGAAAAATGAGCTCGGGGTAAAGCCATTGAAATTCCAAAAAGTGGAAGAACTTACACCTCAACAGAAAGAAAATAGACTCAAAAGAGCTAAAGAGTTGCTTCGCTTGGCCGAAAGTGGTGAACTGCCGAATTTGGTTTTCTCCGAAGAGAAAAAAAATCGTTGTCCAGCAGTTTGTAAACAAACAAAATTATCGTTTTACTTGCCAAAGAGGTCAGCTGAAAATGTGCACCTTCGGTAGGCCACCAGAACTCAAGCCCCGGCCATGGTGATGGTGTGGGACTCCATAACAGCCGATGGTCGCTCTCCGCTCGAATTAATCGACCTTGGCATCAGAATAAATGTCGAATATTCGACAATATTCTGGAAGGTGCATTAAAGCCTTGGACATTCAAACATTTTGGCCGCATTCCAAGAGGACTCAGCACCATCGCACTCAACAAGCGCCACCGCAGAATGGTCACAAATTGAGGTTCCTCACTTCATTTCCAGCGCACAATGGCCACCAAAATCTGCGGATACCAATCCGTTGGACTATTGCGTCTGGAGTACTTTGGAAAATCAAGGTTGGCACTAAAAAATACCAAAGTGTCGATAACTTCAAGCCAGCGCTTCGCCGGGAATGGGCCAAAATACCGCAGAGCAACATTCGGGCAGTGTGGTCTTTGAAGGCCATGATTCGTGCCAAAGTTGAAAAATTCGAACAAATCTAAACTTATCCCAAAATTTGATGATATTTCCGACATTTTTTGCTTTCATTCAATAGAATTAAAAAAAAATTGAATGGTACTAAACTGTGCATTAGATGATGATATAGAGCTGGAATCCCAATATTTGTTATTGAGGTCTCTATTATGTAAGTATGAAAAAAGTTTAAGAGCATCACGGAATACTCTACGTAGTACAACTTAACCTGTTTTAACATTATACTGCAAAAGCAAGTAAAAAAGCACTAAGTTCAGACGAGCCGAACTTTGAATACCCTTCAGCATTTGAAACCAATTAGAAAATTGTCAAAAAACAAAATCCATTAAAAATTTTATTAAAATCTTTAAAATATCTAATGTCGGAAGGTGCCGATATATTGGGGGATATACGATATTGTGGACCTATATAGACAAATCTATGTCTGGGGTAAAGTATTCACAAGGAAATCCCTCTTCCAAATGTTAAAGTACCCACTAGGAACTCCTTGGGTGGATTATCAGACAATTCCGTTGAAAAATGTGGGTAAAATCATCAAAATACCGAATATCGTGGGGGGTACCGTTATATGGGGGCTATACGATACCGTGGGCCTATATAGGTAATTCTCTTCCGAAGTACAAGGTACCCACAAGGGACTCCTTGTGTGGAATTTCCGACAATTCCATTGAAAAATATGGTAAACATCATCAAAATACCGAATATCGGCCCGTACCGTTATCTGGGGGCTATACGATATCGTGGACCTATATAGATAATTCTCTTCTGAGGTTTAAAGTACCCACAAGGAACTCCTTGTGTGGAATTTCAGACAATTCCATTGAAAAATGTGGCTAACATCATCAAAATACCGAATATCGGGGGGTACCGTTATGTGGGGGCTATATATCGAGAACCTATATTGATAATTCTTTTCTAAAGTTTAAAGTACCCACAAGGGACTCCATGTGTGAAATGTCAGACAATTCCATTGAAAAATGTGAGTAAAATAATCAAAATACCGAATATCGGGGGTTACCGTTATATGGGAGCTATACGAAATCGTGGACCTATACAGATAATTCTCTTCTGAGGTTTAAAGTACCCACAAGAAACTTATTGTGTTGATTTTCAGACAATTCCTTTGAAAAATGTGAGTAAAATCATCGAAATACCGAATATCGGGGGTACCGTTATATGGGGGCTATACGATATCGTGGACCGATATAGCCCATCTTCGAACTTGACCTGTCTGCATACAAAAGACAGATCTATGCAAAATTTTAGCATCCTATCTTAATTCGTTTAGACTGTAGCGTGATCGTCTTAGAATTTTACGCTGATCAAGAATATGTCTAAAGTGATTATTTCGATAAATTACAAACGGAATGACAAACTTAATATACCCTCCATACTATGTATGGTGGAGGGTATAAAAATCAGAATTTGAAGAATTTAATTCTACTGCAGGTAAAAGAGAAAATTTAATCTAAAAGTGATAGAAATTTCAGTGACATATGGTGAAGGACAAAATAAATGGGTCATTCTTTGAATTTTCACATTTTGAAGAGTTCCCCCAGCTTAGCATTGGGTGTATAAAGGAAATTTCAGTAATGTAATCTTACAATAATCTGATCCCACAAATGTTCCAAATAGATATGAAATTATGATTTCTTCGTATTCGTTCGGATGTCCGTTTGTCGTGATTAATTGACAACCATTTCTCAGCTCTCCAAAATTGTACCTTCTATTCTACCATGTGGTTTAATATTTTTTAAAACTTTTACTTGCAATTAGTTTTACAAATTTTAATAACAATAACTTAAAATACGTTTATTAGGAAACTAATCCCTTCAATGGGTTCCACTCAGATGCGGCGAAAAACCGAAGCAGGCAGATATGTGGCACTGGTAGCAGGACTAGAAGCAGCAGAAGTTGGAACAGGATCAGCTGGAGCTTGTGAGGCAAAATTCAAGGCTGGGGCAACACCACCATCAAAATGCTGCGATTTACCACCCAAGGAGTTGTATTGTTCCTGAATGGCCTTTTGGGCATTGACAGCATCTTCAGGGGTACGGTATTTGACAAAGTGAACTTCGGGTTTGTGATTGGCATTGCTATTGTCTTGGTTCAATTTGTTGGCAAAGTCAGCAAGATCAGCTTGTTTCTGAAGAACATAGATGGCGGTCTGTTGTTCAGCAGCTTGTTTGGCCAAAGCCAAAGCAGCATTTTCCAAACCACTGCTTTCAGGGCCCTTAATGAAAATAACACGCAGACCTTGTTTTACAGCATTATCGAATTTGTTGGAGCCAGCTGGGTTGTTGAAATCTTCATCGTTGGCACTAAAAGTGTAGAATTCTTTTTTAACTCCGCCTTGGCTTGGAACGGTATTCGTGGCACTTCCAGTATTATCGGATAATCCATATTCATCACCAGAAGGGGCAAATGAGGCGACTGCATCAGAAGACGTGGAACCTGCATTGTAACTAGGTGCAACACTAGAAGTCGCATCAATATTGGAGCTACCAGATTGATAATTGTAGCCAGATTGAGCACAGGCAGATGCTACCAAACACAAGGCAATGAAGAAACGCATATTTCTTTCCAGTTGCGATGTTGCTATTCGAAATGAGTTCTGTGCTTGAATGTATCTAACTCAATGGTCCTTTCACTTTTTATATAATGTTAGGTACCGCGAGGCTATGACTTTATACAAAGTATTTTATTAAAAACGGCGACATTGAAATTAATTTTAAATGAAATTGATCTATGATACTTCACCCGCAACCTAATTAAATGAATTGTGCCACTAAAATGATTAATCTTCCTTGTTGTTAAAACTGAGTTTTGAAATATGAACATATTGACGACAGTCCGATCAGGTCTACATTTATTAACAGAGTCCAAGTATGTTTTTCATACCCTAGGCTACCCATCATTTAAAAAACTGTCTTCATGGCTTGTACGCACCGTAACTCTCAAAGATGTTATCCAATTTGGTTCAAACATACCGGTTCAAATTTTCCCCTTCCGAAAAGAAAGAAAAAAATTAAATGGTTACAATTAACAAAATTATGAAAATTAAGTGTCTCTAAGAAAGTTAATTTAGTTTTTATGTATTTTGGCAAATCGTTATGATATCAAAAGGCCAAAGAAGTTTGGTAGAAATATGGACAATAACGGTCCAACCCTTCCTTCACCCAAAAATATTGAATTTTTGAGTAAATATAACTCTTATGAAATGAAAAATCAATTACAGAGGTTCTTCAAACATTGCATATTTCAATATTGCTATCAAGACCAGATTAGTACATGCTAATACTTTTGGTACCTCCGTCACAAATATTCCAAAATATCCAAAAAAATATATATAAATCTCAAATAAATTGGAATCAATATCTGATTTGATTGAAACTTCGTATAGGCTTTTGATAAGGCTGGGCTTTTGGAAATTCGTACGAAAAGTACTAAAAAATAAATACTTTCTATTGGGCAAACGGAGTGAGGTAGAATTCTGAAATTTGGAATGAGAGTTACTGACGGAGGACAGATGTACCAAAGCATTTTTGGAAATTCGAACTTTAAAGTTACAAGTTTAAAATTGTTACTAAACTTTTAAAATGGTATCATTTGGTATTACGCGAACGGATAGGACTAAAAACTTGAAATTTGGTAAGAGAATCAAGGTTGGAAAGTAAGTCTGAACTCTGCGAACTGAACTAAATGGTCCCCCGGTCCCCTTTGGTTGTAGGTTTGTGATAAAAACGTGGTTTTGGAAATGGGTAATACAAGTGCACAAAAAGTACTAAATGGTACCATACATGGTACAATCTCGTATTGTGTAAACAGAAATTGCCTGAATTCGGAATTTTGGTATTAGGGTCGATGTTAATGTATAGCCTGGGCATATGGATGTAGGTTCGCAAATATGGTTTTGGAAATGTGAACTATGACTGTTCAAAAAGTAATAATTGGTACTAAATTGGGTATTAGGTGAAGGGATAGAGCTGGAGTTCCAAAATTTAATATCTAAGTCCCTGTTCCTGAAGTCCTGTTCCTGAAAGTAGTAAATGGTACTTAAATGAGTATTAAATGAAGGGATAGAGTTGGAACCCCAAATTATGATATTGAGGTCTGTGTTGGTATGTGGGATTGAGATATGGAGGTGGCTTTGGAAATGTGTACTATGATTGCAAAATTTGTACTAAATAGTACAAAATTAGATATTAGTCGAAGGCATAGAGCTAGAATCCTGAAATTTGATGTGTTCGTCACTCTTGATGTCTGTGGTTAAGATAGGGAAATGGTTTTGGAAATGTGTAATATAATTGTTCGAAAAGTACTAATTGGTACTAAATTGAGTATTGATGAGAGATAGGGCTGGAGGTCTCTGTTGGTCTTTGGGATTGAGATATGGCTTTGGAAATGTGTAATATAATTTCAAGAAAAGTACTAAATAGTACTAAATTTGATATTAGGCGAAGAAATAGAGCTGGAATCCTGAAATCTGATATGAGTGTCACTGTTGGTGTTTGTGTTTAAGATAGGGAGATGTATTAAATATTAGAAAAAGTATTAAATTGGGTGAAGAAATTGAGCTACAATCCTGAAATTTGATACGGACGCCACTGTTGGTGTCTGTGGTTAAGATATGGAAGTGGTTTTGAAAATGCGTACTATAATTGTTCACAATGGTATTAAATTTTGCAATGGGGGAAGTTACGGAGCTAAAATCCTAAAATTTGTTATTTAGGGCACTATTTGTATCTGGGATTGAGATGTGGAGATGGTTTTGAAAATACATGGTTTAACTGCACGAGAATAACTAAATGTTACAAAGTTGGTATTGGGTGAAGAATAGATCTGAAATCCCGGAATTTGATATGGATGGATGTCACCATTGGTGTCTGTAGTTGAGAGAAGGAAGTGGTTTTGGAAAAAAAATGAAAAAAATAACAAAATATTCCGTTGTGTGATAGGATAGAGATGGAATTCAGACATTTGGAATATCTAGTACCAAATATCATTGTTGTCGAATGCATATTACGAATGTTAGGAACTTAAACACCAAATGGGATGAAACATATATATGGAAGCTATAGCTGTATCTGAACCGATTTTCTCCGAATTCGATGTACTAACCTCTAGACAGAATTTGGTTGGATGTACCAAAATTCAGGACTTTGTGACAGATATTGGCCATTTGGTGCACAACTAACCCGAAATCGGTTGAAGATATCTATGGGAGCTATATCCAAATCTGAACCGATCTTGACAAAATTTGATACATTTATTTCAGAGCTGTATCTGACAGCTGGTACCAAAGATCATTGTTATGGAATACATATTATGCCTTTAAACCCCAAATTGGATAAAACATATGGGAGCTATAGCTACATATCTGAACCGATTTACATCAATTTTAAAGTACTGGTTTATAGGATAAATTCAGTCGTAATTGCCAAAGTTCAGTCCATTTGGGCTGATATTGGGCTTATGGTGCACAATAAACCTGATATCTGATAAACATATATATGGCAACTATATCCTAATCTGAACCGATCTCGGTAAAATTTGGCAGATGTAGTTTTGAGCTTCATAAGTTATCTGGTACCAAATATCATTCTTTTGGAGTGCATATTACGCATGAGAGGAACTTAAAAGCCCAAATCGAATGAAACATAATATATGGGAGCTATAGCTATATCTTAACCGATTTCCTCCAAGTTTGATTTACTTGATTCTAGTCTGATTTCAGTGGGATGTACCGGAATACAGGTCATTTGGACTTATATTAGCCATTTGGTGCACAAATTACCCGAAATCTGTTGAAAGTGTATGAGAGCTATATCTAAATTTAAATCGATTATCACCAATTTAAATAGGGTTCGTCCTTGGACCTAACAAATATGGTCTGCAAAATTTCATCTCAGTCAGATAATAAATGCGACTTGCGACACTGAAATGCATAAATGGATACAGGAAGTGATTCTATGAAGATCCTCAAGGTAACTATGGGTCTATCTCGCTTTCTTCTCCATGTTACAAACAAATGCACAAAGACATAATACACTTACCACTATGTGGTGTAGGGTATAAAAAGGATGGTTTAATGGAAATTTGGTATTGTTTTACGCAAACGTTATGTTCAAATTCACCCTCTAAATATTATTCGTCTGTCTGTCTAATACTCTTACCACGTGAAAACTTCTGCGTTAAGTGGTCTGTAATTGTGACTTAAAGAGTCACGGCAAATCTGTACATTTTTCTGTTTGTGGTCCATTTCATCAAATATTATGCGATCATCTTCAAAAACACTAAGCTTCTATTCCGATCCTACACTCGGTGCAATATTTCGATGGTATCGGACCATAATTGCTATCTGTTGCATGATTACAAATTAACATAAACAGACGGACGGGCACACATGGCTAGATCGACTCAGCTCGGCGAAATAGGTAGATCTATATAACATCGGGGGCCTAGGACCAATATTATGCGGTGTTACACAAACAAACATATAATACTCCAAACGCATACAATATAATATAATATAAATAACTAATGTAGGCTTAGTTTTTTTAAGCAATTAATAAAATATAAATGCCATCGTTATTGTAAAAGTTTTATAAAAATAGATTTTAAATTTTTTAAGGTACATTTTTCAATTATAATTTCTAATAAAGTGAATGTCTCAGTCACTTTGCAAAAAAAATCTTCATTCGATTTAATTAAAGGCCATTAATCATTTTAATGCAACAAAATGCATAATATCCATTGACACCATGCATTCTATGTTTTCCAAATGAGTATTCTAATGACTTAATTATAAGAGTTACCAAATAAGCTATTGGCAACGCTTTAGCAAATAGTATAAAAAGTAAAAGGTTTTTTGAATTGATATCATTTAGCAGCAGTATTCATATCGGATTACATAAGCAATCAAACAAACATAAATAAGATGCGTGCCTTTATTGTGTTGTGTTTAGTGGCCACCGCCTGTGCTCAATCGGGCTATAATTATCAAGCCGGCAGTAGTGGTAATTTTGGTGCAGCTACTAATTCTGCCCCATCTTTTGATGCTGGATCTTCACTTGGTGCTGCTGCTCCCTCATTTGCTCCTGTCGCTGCCTCCGATTTTGGTTCTTCCGATAATGTTGGATCTGCCTCCAATGCTGCCCCAGTCCAAGGCGAACTTGAAAAGGAATTCTATACTTTCACTGCTAACGATGAAGACTTCAACGAACCAGCAGGCTCCAATCAATTCAGCAACGCTGCCAAACAAGGCCTTCGCGTAATCTTTATCAAGGGCCCCGAAAGCAGTGGTTTAGAAGATGCGGCTTTGGCTTTGGCCAAACAAGCTGCTGAACAACAAACCGCCATCTATGTCCTCCAAAAACAAGCTGATCTTGCTGACTTGGCCAACAAATTGAACCAAGACAACAGCAATGTTAATCACAAACCCGAAGTTCACTTCGTTAAATATCGTACCCCTGAAGATGCTGCCAATGCCCAAAAGGCCATTCAAGATCAATACAACTCCTTGGGTGGTAAATCTCAGCAATTTGATGGTGGTGTTGCTCCTGCCCTGAACTTTGCATCTCAGGCTCCAGTTGCTCCTGCTCCAGCACCAGCTGCTGCCGCTTCCAGTCCTGCCACCAGCTCCACCTACCTGCCGGCTTCTGCTCTTCGTCGTTTCCGTTTGTAAATTGTTAAGGATTTGGACATGTGACCCTATGAATACATGTGTATATATGTTATATATATATATGTAATTGTTTTTGTTGTACAATATTCGAAAAGTAAACAGAAAATATTTATTAAATATTTGAGTTTTATGTGTTTTTTGGTTATTCAAAAGTCTTGTGAAAATATATAGTTTAGTTCGTTCAAGACTATTTTATAATTGGGAAAAATATTTACCAAATCCAATACCATAGACGGGTGTGTACAAAATACTTTGACATACGTTTGAGTGCGGTTGTGGAGCTGGGAAAATTTAGCAATAAAATATAAATACTCCCAAGACTGCACAAGACCACTAGAATGAAATAACAGCAGCCCAGCCCTCCATTCAATATTAGAATAGATAAGAATAATTGTGTGGCTGCTATTACGTTAAGTTAGATTAGTTTTTGTATCACTTAAGAAACATATTTTTGAAATAAACTCAGAATTGAATCAACAACCAAACCATTCGGTTGGTATTCTTTTCTCATCACCGAATAAAGAATAGAGTTGACAATCGAAGAGGGGTATTGGACTCTATTCCAACTTGGTCCTTCAGCCGGATACAAAGAATTGAATCTACACCCAAGCGAAGCGGTTGTATTCTTTTCTCATCATCGATCCAGAGAATAGAATTGACAATCGAAGAGGGATATTGGATTCTATTCTTAAACAGGGTGAAATCATAAGATATAGAGATTAATTGAATATAGAGATTACAGAATACCATACTGCCAACACTCAACGCACGTATTTCCAAACCGTTCTGTTCAAAATTTCACCATGCCACCTCTATCCACTCACCTAAAACCATATTGTGCCAAATTTAGTACCATTTGGTACGGTTGTTACACTTAAGTACGCATTTCCTTATAACTAACTAACTTTTATTACCATATACAGAGTGAGATAAAAAACCGCAACAAAGTCAAACGCCATAATTTTTACAATTTTTTTTTTATAATTTTACAGAATAAAAGCAAAAAATATCGGAAATAGCATCAAATTTTAGAATAAGTTTAGATTTGTTCGAATTGGTCACCTTTGGCACGAATTAGGGCCTTCAAACGGTCAATGAAACCGCTCCCTAATGTTGCTCACACGCTGCCCGAATGTTTCTCTGCGGTATTTTGGCCCATTCCAGGCGAAGCGCTTGCTTGAGGTGATCGACACTTTGGTATTTTTTGAGTCTATTTTCTCTCCGTTGAGGTGGAATATGGAATGGAATATTGCGATACGTTCATTTTTCGGCCACTGCGACACGGGTGTCTATCAAGTCGATTCTTTACCTTTCTAACCATTTCTGCTGATGTTACTGTTGCTGTTGCCGTTGCCGAATGTTTCTCTGCGGTATTTTGGCCCATTCCAGGCGAAGCGCTTGCTTGAGGTGATCGACACTTTGGTATTTTTTGAGTCTATTTTCTCTCCGTTGAGGTGGAATATGGAATGGAATATTGCGATACGTTCATTTTTCGGCCACTGCGATACGGGTGTCTATCAAGTCGATTCTTTACCTTTCGAACCATTTCTGCTGATGTTACTGTTGCTGTTTTCTTCCGTCCACTTCCTTGACGTCGGGCTACGCTACCAGTATCACGGGAACGAGCGATGGTAGGAGACATAAAAGATTTATTCACATTTAAATGCTGGATTGCTCCAACGATAGCCACACGTGGTTTGCCATATAAACAAATATAAAGAAATCACACTATCACGCTTTAATTTCGTTACGAATAACTTTTTCCCACCAAAATGCTTTTGTACGCTTGTAAACAATATAATGAGCTGTCACTGGAATAATTTTAACAGCTGTCGGACGAGTGGCTTAGAATTGACAGCAGTCTGAAGTCGGTTGCAGTTTTTCATCTCCCCCTCATTCAAAATTTTACACTGGGGCACACGATAACTCTCAAAGGGGGTATACGATTTGGTCCAAACATGGAACATCGTACCATTATACACCAGCTTACCACCAGTTCGGAGAGTGCAATATTGGCCCACTCCTTCAGGTGCCTTCGCCATAGGAAGTCAAATATTCCAAGAAAACATTTTAGTTCATAGAAAAAGAAAGAGTCATCCGATTTTGCATCAGTGCTAGTTAAAAATGCAGAAAACTCGATTTTTAAAGAGTTATGTCCATTTTGAACTATTCAATAATTGATGCAATAAAAGGTGATCGCAAATAATAGCTAAAAACGCTGAAAATAAAAACGCCGAAAACTCAATATTTAAGGAGTAATGGTCATTTTAAAATATTCACTAATTCGTTCCAAGTTAACTGATCAAAAATAATATCTAAAAACTCCGAAAACTCAATATTTAATTCATTCCTATATAAATGATCACATATAAAGCTAAAACGCCGAAAAAAATCTTTCCATCAGTCCTAGGTCAGGTGGAAAACGGGATTATTATCGCCGTGAAACGGGGACTCCGTGTTATCTTCATCAAGGGCCCTGAAAACAGTGGTTTGGAAGATGCCGCTTTGGCATTGGCCAAACAAGCTGCTGAACAACAGGAAAACGGGATTATTATCCATCAAGTACCACCCCCACAAGGGGTCAAATTTTGAATAAGCATAACTTATGAAATGTCAAATAAGAACCCGATTGTGTTTAAATTTCGCACGTCTCATTATTTCTACTAACACAAGATCTGGTATGAATAACGATGGGAACGGAAACTACTTCTTGTACCTCCCCACAGCGGGTAAAAAGTTTGGAATAACTTGGAAAATAAGTCAGCGATTCGTTTCCAACTTGGGATATATAGAATTTTTTCCTGAACTAGAGATCGGATGTGAATAGGGAATTTATCGGCCCACTTCTTCTCGTATCTCCCCACCTAAGTCTAAAGCTTTTATTATTTATTTAATTATTTGCATAAAATTCCAATACCAAAGATCTGAACAGTAATGTAAATGTCTGAGGAAAATTTCAAAGCGACAGAATGCTTCCCGGATTTAGGGAAGCATTCAGTGTAAGTGTTATTTGCATAAAATTCCAATATCAAAGATCTTAACAGTAATGTAAATGTCTGAGGAAAATTTCGAAGAGACAGAATGCTTTCCGGATTCAGGAATGCATTCAGTGTAAGTGTGAAATTTTTGTTCTCTCCGCTGCACCAATTTAAATTGATGTACTTCATTTAACACCGATAATTTTTTTTTTTTTTTTTTGCAAAATTGTTTAAGATCGGAGCTTAATGGAAAATGTTGGTTCCACATCCATGAGAATTTTTAGAAAGAAGCACCTAATAATCACAAAATATGCTTCCATATTGGAAAATAATGAATTACTTATAACCCCTAACATTCGAAAAGTTTGCAATTTAAGCATTTCACAATTTTGTCACTATGCGATGCAAACGTGATGCTATTTTTAACTCCCCCTTATAATTGTTTATAAAATATTTTTATTTTTGATTTCGTTTGTTCTAAAATTACGCAAAATAAAAAATGCACACAGATTTTCTTTTCAACCGTAGAATATAAATAAATTAAAGATAAATCAACTAAATACCTCTCACGTGCTGAGATATTTGTATATCTATCCAATATAGACTATAACGTCAACACCCACCTATCCGGTCAATAGCATCAGGAAATTCAATTGAATACAGGAAATAAGTTCAACTAAATTTTCGAAAGCCAAAAAATATGCAAAAATTAATCAAAAATTTGAAATACCGATTAAACGAACTGGAGATGACAAAATAAATTAAGAAAAAACAAATTTATACCAAATCATCGATGCATAGGCAATAAGCAGCAATTAATGAATATTTCATTAGTTCACAAGATTTCGAAATGCGTGCGATGCAACACATCTGCCGGTAAAATGTATAAAAATAAATTTCACATCGCTTTTGAATCATTCTAGTTTTATAACTTAATCGGATAACAATATCATCGAATTAAGAAGATGCGTGCCTTTATCGTGTTGTGTTTAGTGGCAGCCGCCTGTGCTCAATCGGGCTATAATTATCAAGCTGGCAGCAGCGGTAATTTTGGTGCAGCCTCTAATGCTGCTCCATCTTTTGATGCTGGATCTTCCTTTGGTGCTGCTGCTCCTTCATTTGCTCCTGTTGCTGCTCCTGCATATGGACCTGGCGATAATGTTGGATCTGCCTCCAATACTGCCCCAGTCCAAGGCGAATTGGAAAAGGAATTCTATACCTTCTCTGCCAACGATGAAGACTTCAACGAACCGGCTGGCTCTAATCAATTCAACAACGCCGTGAAACAGGGACTCCGTGTTATCTTCATCAAGGGCCCTGAAAACAGTGGTTTGGAAGATGCCGCTTTGGCATTGGCCAAACAAGCTGCTGAACAACAGACCGCCATCTATGTCCTTACCAAACAAGCTGATCTTGCTGACTTGGCCAACAAATTGAACCAAGAAAATAGCAATGTTAACCACAAGCCCGAAGTTCACTTCGTTAAATACCGTACCCCTGAAGATGCTGCCAATGCCCAAAAGGCCATTCAGGATCAATACAACTCCTTGGGCGGTACCAGCCAAAGTTTCAACGGCGGTGTTGCTCCAGCCTTGAACTTTGCCTCTCAGGCTCCAGTTGCTCCCGCATCCGCTCCTGCTGCTTCTAGCCCCGCTACCAGTGCCACCTATCTTCCCGCTTCCGTGCTCCGCCGTTTCCGTTTGTAAACGGTAGGTAAATAGGAGACGACTGATTTTGTTATTGTTATTGCGACCCGATCTAATAAATTATTTAAAAACAATCAATTGAATTTTTTCTTAAGGATCTAGAAAAACATTGTCATGTTGTGTATGAATTTGCAACAATCCAGGAAATGTTCAATGTAAAATGTAGATGTGTAATTATGGCGGTCTATAGAAAGAGAGTAAAAATCTGTTGAAAGTATTTTCATCTACTGATAATCCAAAAGGAAAATCAAAGTCTATTAATGATGGGCAGATAAATTCGCAAAAGCTATTATTAAAAAATCAGGCAATCTAAAGTGCATGAAGAATTTAACAAGTTAAACAAGTAAAAAAGCAGCAAGTTCGGCCGGGCCGAACTTTGAATACTCTCCACCATTTGGAACGAATTAGGATTTTTTTTAAATCCTAAAAATATCGAATATCGGAAGGTGCCGATATATGGGGGATATACGATATTGTGGACCTTTATAGACAAATCTATGTCTAGGGGTAAAGTACTCACAAAGAATTCCTTGTGTAGAATTGTAGACAATTTCGTTGAAAATGTGGCTAAAAGCATCAAAGTACCGAATATCGGGGGATATCGTTATATGGGGGCTATACGATATTGTGGACCTATATAGATATTTATCTTTCAGGGGATAAAGTACTTACAAGGAACTCCTTGTGTGGACCTTCAGACAATTCCATTGGAAAATGTGGCGAAAATCGTCAAAATACCAAATATCGGGGGTACCGTTATATGGGGGCTATACGATATCGTGGACCGATATAGTCCATCTTCAAACTTGAGCTGCCTGCAGACAAAAGTCTGATCTGTGCAAAATTTTAGCTTTCTATCTTAATTCGTTTTGACTGTAGCGGGATTACAACAGACGGACGTAAGGAAAGGGCTAAATTGCCTTAGAATTTTACGCTGATCAAGAATATATATACTTTATTAAAAGGTTACCAAAGTTAGTACCACTTGGTACTTTTCGTTTATGTAAGTATTCATTTGCAAAACCACTTCATATATCAACCCTTTACATCAATACAGACCAAAATACAAATTTTAGTATCACTTAGTACCATCTTGGATACGTATTTCCTAAACCATCTCCATATCTCAACACTGGACACCAATTCTGACCCAACACTACAATTCAAAAATGTAACTCTATCCGTACCATTTATTACTTTCGTAGTCTTGTAGAACTTATTTCCTAAAAATATTGCAAATTTTAGGTCTCCAGCTCTACGGGTTCACCCAAATCCATTTTGTACCAAATTTAAAATCATTTAGTACAAATCTCAATCCCACACTTCAACAGTAATCCCAATACCAAATTTTAGCATTTACTTAGCGTGAGTACGACTTTCTAAATCTTCCTACATTTGGCTGGAAAACCACAAGAGCACTCCAGCATTTAAATGTGAACAAATCTTTTGTCTCTCATACCATCGCTCGTTACCGTAATACTGGTAGCGTAGCAAGGATGGGAGTGATCAAGGAAGTGGACAGAAGAAAACAACAACATCAACAGAAATGGTTCGAAAAGTAAAGAAGCGACTTGATCGAGACCCGCGTCGCAGTGACCGAAAAATGGCTCGTGAACTGAATATATTGCAATATTCCGTTCGGCAAATATTAAAAAATGAGCTCGAGGTAAAGCCATTGAAATTCCAAAAAGTGTAAGAACTTACACCGCAACAGAAAGAAAATAGGCTCAAAAGAGCTAAAGATTTATTTCGTTTGGCCGAAAGTGGTGAACTGCCGAATTTGGTCTTCTCCAATGAGAAAACATTCGTTGTCCAGCAGTTTGTAAACAAACAAAATGATCGAAACAAACGATCATTCATCATAACCAGAAATCAAGCGCCAGCCATGGTGAAGCTGCGGGCCACCATAACAGTCGATTGTCGCTCTCCGGTCGTATTAATCGACCATGACATCATAATAAATACCGAATATTATGGCGAAAATTTTCTGGAGGGTGTATTAAAGCATTTTGGGCGCAGACCTTGGACATTCTAACAGCACGCGTCACCCAAGAAATGTTACAAAATGAGGTTCCTTGCTTCATTTCCAGCACACAATGGCCACCAAAATCTCCGGATACCAATCAGTTGGACTATTGTGTCTTGAGTATTTTGGAAAGCAAGGTTGGCACGAAAAAATACCAAAGTGTCGATCACCTCAAGCAAGAGCTTCGCCGGGAATGGGCCAAAATACCGCAGAGCAACATTTGGGCAGCGTGTGGCGATTTCATTGGCCGTTTGAAGGCCATAATTTATGCCATAGGTGACCAATTCGAACAAATTTAAACTAACATTTGATGCTATTTCCGCCATTTTCTTGCTTTCATTCAATAATATTTAAAAAAAATGTAAAAATTAAAGCGTTTGACTTTGTTGCAGTTTTCATACCCTACAACATCATGTGTTGGGGGTATTATAAATTTGATTGGGCAAAAAATTATGTAACACCTCGAAATATTGGTTTCTCACATAGCAAAGTATATATGAATCTTCCTATCTCGCCGAGCTGAGTCGATCTAACTATTTATCACTCTACAGGTCGCAATTATGGCCCGATCTTCACGAAATTTAGAATGGTGGTTGGGCTAGGGCCAGAATAGAAGCCTATTGCTTTTGGAGATAATCGCATAATATTTAAAAAAACATTCCCGATTTTGCAGTTGCTCTACAGGTCGCATTTATAGACCAATCGAAGCGAAAGTTAGCATGGGTCTAGAGCTTAGGACTGGGCTGAAGCGTTCCAATTTTGATGGTCATCAGGTAACATTTTGTGGATGAAATAGACCATAACATTTGAATTAAATAAGTTCCATTAAACCGCGAATATTTTTAATCCCTGCGAAATCTCAAATGGACGAACATGTCAATTCTGACCGTTACGTAGATGTCGATAGTAAATATATCCGATATATATATAGAGAAATATATACAATGTATATATACAAAGGAAGGGGATGTTAGCTAAAATGTTATATCAGAAAAATGGCTGGACCGATTTTTACAAATGTTGTCAATTTAAGCTAAGGGCAGTATTAATAACCGAAATCTTCCAAAATGAATTTGGACATAAGAGGATTTCTACCATATTGTAGTGTTGTAGGGTATTACATGGTCGGCCCCGACTGTAGCATTTGCTTACTTGTTTTGTATCACCATGTATATTAGGTCATACGAAAACGTGTACATGACCAAACTCGACCTGCCTACCGACAAAATACGTAAATGTTCAAAATGCTAGCCGTCTGTCTCATTTCGTTAGAAATATAGCTTAATAAAACAAACAGACGGCCATCGCTAAATCGACTAAGAAATTTATCCTTACCAATAATTGGTATACTGTTTAGGTAGCTAGAAGCCTAATGTATACTTTTTTTCACAAAATTACCTAAAAACAAGTAAGCAAAGGCTACAGTCGAGCGGGGCCGACTGTTGAATACCCTACAACACTATAATAAACGATACTGTTTATATAGGCGAGATACTCGAAAGAATTCCACAAGATATTGTGACAAATAATAAAAGAAAACCATCAGGTTTCGTTCTCTAATTTTCGAATAATAGCAACTTAAACTAATTTGCTCATTTCCAATTTATTGGTAGATGTTGCACGTAAACGGTCTTCCTAGATCTGGAACCAATATTTCCCAAAGGCCTATAATCTCTCAGAAGGGGCAAAAGATTAACATTTATTATTGGTTTTTGACTGAAACGCATCTATATGAGATACAGACATTTGACTGTATTCTTCCACGAAATCAGTGTTAATGAAATAGTCAGAAGTGCGTCTTTCCTGTATTTGTGAATTCTCCAAAAAGTCACTGGAATGGACATTTTCGTATTTTGTCTACAAAAGTTGGCAAACTATTTCACACATTGAATATTTTTGGATGGCCATCCGAAACTGCTTGGCTTTTGCCATGTGCGGTAACCCCCATTCAAATGTGCGTGAGGATCGGGCAATAATTACGACCTGCTGACAATTTTGCAGTTTTTTGGTCCATTTCAACCCCTAAATATATAACGATCATCTCCAAAAAGAAAAGGCATCTATTCTGACCCTCATCTTATCCCCATGCAAAATTTCGTAAGGATCGGGCCATAAATGCGATCTGTATATGATATCCTGATATCCTAACTACTTAGTTTTGTTAGCTGTAGAAATATTACCAAATGATTAATTCAAAATGAAAATATGCCAAAAATATGATAAAATTGAAAAAATATGAGAAAATATTACTAAATCAATATTTTCGTCTTTGGAGAGATATTTTTATGCAATTTTTTAGACGTTTTTTCTTTCCTGCCAAGAGGCCATTTTGAATTAATGTGAACTGTCGAAATCAGTTCAGCCGTTCTCGACATATAAGAGGTCTTTCAAGCATATCTTCTTTGATAGACATATATATTGCAAATATTTTGCTATATATCCGATTTGTTGGATGTTAACATCAATGTAAAGGTCAGAAGTAACCTTGTCATGGCTTCGTGATTTCGCAGGGATTTAAAATATTCGCGGTTTAATGAAAAATTTTGAATTTTTTCAACAAAAAAGATATGGTCTCTTTTACCCGCTAAATATTATCCGATGACCACCCAAATTGGTAGGCTTCTTCCCCGCCCAAAACTCTAGCTACATGCAAAATTCTGCGTCGATTGGTCTATAATTGTGACCTGTAGAGCAACTGCAAAATCAACAAATTTTTCAGTTTTTGGTCCATTTCAACCCCTAAATATTATGCAATCCTCTCCAAAAGAAATAGGGTTCTATTCTGACCTTAACCCCACCTACATTTTAAATTTCGTGAAAATCGGGCCATAATTGCGACCTGTAAAGTGATTACAAATTAACATGGACAGACGGACAGACGGACAGACGGACGGACGGACATACATAGCTAGATCGACTCAGCTCGGCGAGATAGGAAGATCCATATATACTTTCCTATGTGGGAAATCAATATTTCGTGGTGTTACATAATTTTTGGCCCAATCAAACTTATAATACCCCCAACACATAGTGTTGTAGGGTATAACTAGTTTATATTCACCATTTAATCGAGTATTTATCCAAGATTTAACAAGTGTATTTAAAGTCTGCTTTTTATCTGCCGTTGTACTATCAAATTCCATTAGAGATACAACAGAATAAATTGATTTTCCGATATCCAACGAAATATATTATTGCCACAATTTGGTTAGACACCTCTGTCCAACACTACTCATGACCAATAGCGACTGATATCTTTTAGATCGACGAAGTGTAGTTTCTTATATTTTATTTATGTTTCTCTACCGAGATAAGATATTCTAAATTTTGTTAAAATTCATTTATTTATTTTATTATTATATTTTTTTTTTTGCATTATAGGTTTCAAACAAACACAATGTGTTTGCCCCACAAAATGTCAAACATTTTAAAATTTATGCCAAAGATACACAATGCGTTGATGACCAACCCATCCGGAAATCTACGAACTGCTTTAAATGTGCAGGAAATTGGCATCAAATGACAGGTAATAAAAATGACAGACAATAAATATGCAAAATATGATACAGATGGTCTGGTCCATCATGATAAGATAATAAAACAAAAGCGATGAACAGCATAGGCCATAACAAATCAAAAATCATATCAATTGTTTCACATTATTTATAATTGTTGCAGTCAAAACTTTGAATGCATGTATGTATATAAGTGAAAATCTTATTGATGACAATATCATTCTAATTTTTGAGTTATTCGAATTAAGATAACAAACTAAAAGAAAATTGTGTGTTCTAAAAATGCGCACCTTTATCGTGTTATGTCTTGTGGCTGGTGCTTTGGCCCAATATAATTATCAGGCTGGAAGTGATGGTGTGGGAGCCGCATCTAACGATGCACCATTCTTTGATGTTCTTAAAGTTCCAGATACTGATGGTGGCTTAAGTGCGGGTGGTCCTTCATTTGATGCTTCAGCTCCACAATATAGCGGCAACCAAGGATCATTTAGTTCCACCTCAAATGTAGCCCCCGTCCAGAGTGGCATTGAAAAGGAATTCTATACCTTTAGTGCCAATGATGCCGACTTCACGGAACCCGCCAGCTCCAATCAATACGCCAATGTTGTTAAACAAGGACTGCGTGTCATCTTCATCAAGGGTCCCGAAAATAATGGCTTGGAAGATGCTGCCCTCGCCTTAGCCAAACATGCTGCCGAACAACAAACCGCCATCTATGTCCTTACCAAACAAGCTGATCTTTCAGATTTGGCCAACAAATTGAACACTTTGAACAGCAATATCAATCACAAACCTGAGGTTCACTTTGTCAAATACCGTACACCTGAAGATGCCGCCAATGCACAAAGAGCCATCCAAGATCAATACAACTCCTTGGGTGGAAGCAGTCAACATTTCGATGGTGGTGTAGCTCCATCGCTGAACTTTGCTTCTCAAGCTCCTGTTGCTGCTGCTCCTGCTGTGGCTGCCTCAAGCCCTGCAACCAGCGCTACATACCTGCCAGCTTCCATTTTCCGTCGTTTCCGTTTGTAAACGATGTGTTTGAAATATGGAAGTGATTTTGATACGGAAATAATTATTGCTTGTTATATATTTATGTTTGTTATGAAATAAAAAAACAAATTTGAAAGAAATTACGTAGATTTTTGTATGGTGATAAGATAAGGGAAAAATTTATTTTTAACTTCATTTGCAAATTCTCGGAAAAACATGTAAAACCGGTTGAGTTCAATCGGGCAAAACTTTTGATAACCTCCAAAACCTTTAAAAGCATAGGAATCGGGACTGAACATTGGGTCCACTTACATTTTTGCCACTAAAGTCGATTGATAAAAAGTGTTAAAGGTGGTTTCTGAAAGTGTTGGTCAATATTGTCCATTTTATATCTGACCCAAGTCTGATATAAATATTACATGGTACCAGATTTGGCCAGTATCGACTACTTCCTGTACTTTATTCGAGGTATGTGATAATTTTCGGAAAAGTTTCAACAGTTGACCGAAGTATTCCACTTCATTTAATACTGATAAAATATTGAGATGTGCAAAATTTAAAGAAAATCGAATAGTCATTTATAATTTATTGGAATAATTGTTAGTCAAAAGTTTGGCCAGAAGCAGTGGACCGATATATTTATTAGATCTTTGGTTAACAGAAATATTGAGATACACGAAGTCTGATGAAAATAGCTTATTTGTTTCGAATGTAAAAAGGGTTATAGTTATTAACAAGTAAAAAAGCCGGGCCGAACTTTTAATACCCTCCACCATTTGGTACAAATTTGGCAAAAAAAAATCCGTTTAAAATTCTGTTAAAATCTCAAAAATACCGAATGCCTATACGACGACGTAGACCTGCATAGGCAACTTTTGTCATAAGTTATTACAATATTTAAATGCGAAACTTGAAGAAAAATCTGTTTATAATATAGCTAAAATCATCAAAATACCGAATATAGTGGGTACCGTTATATGGGGGCAATACGAATATGTGGACCTACATGGCCCATTTTTTGTTTTATGCGGAAGTATCTATTACGAACTTCAAATACCAAATTTGGAACGATTACGTTAAATAATGTCGCTAAAATCATCAAAATACCGAATATCGGGGGGTACCGTTATATCGGGGCTATATGAAGACGTGGACCTACATGGCTCATTTTTTGACTTTGGATGTAGTATCCATTACGAACTTCAAATACCAAATTTGAAACGATTCCGGTAAATAATGTCGTTAAAACACACAGACACACAGACAGACAGACGGACATGGCTAAATCGTCTTAGAATTTTACGCTGATCTAGAATATATATACTTTGTTGGGTCTGACATGAGTATTTCGAGGAGTTACAAACGGAATGACAAAATTATATACCGATTTTCAAAAGAAAGGAATCGGATGCTATTTTCACGTTTTATGAGTTTAATAGTTATTCAAAATGTTAACCCGTCGTTGGGAAGGAGTGAACTCATATATCTCATATTTACACCATATTTAGTGTCAATAAATTTATTGAGATTTGCGAAAAATGAAGACAATCGGAACCTTATTTCGTATTTATGAGCTAAATGGGTATAGAAAGTACTAAAATTAGGTTTGGCATTAAAGTTGTTGTTTATGTGGTGTATGAGGTGGTATTGGAAATTTGTGCTATAATTGTACCAAAAGATCCAAATGGTACAATATTTGCTGTTGGGTGAAGGGTGAAGGGAAAGATATGAAGGTGGTTTTTGAAATGTGTTCAAAAACAAATGTGTTCGCAAAGTACTGAGTGGTACTAAATTGGGTATTGGGTGAAGGGATAGGGCTGAAATCCTCAAATTTGATATTGAGATATGAAGGTGATTTAGGAAGAAGGAATCGAGTTGAAATCCTGAAATTTGATATAGATGTCACTATTGGTATCTGTCTGTGATTTTGGGAATGTGTACTATAATTGTTCGAAAAGTACTAAATAGTACTAAAATTTGTTATTGGTGGGAGGGATAGAGATGATATCTTAAAATTTGATATGTATATCACTGTTGGTGTCTGTGGTTGAGAGAACGAACAAAATGTGACGTTGGATGTTGGAATGGATATGGAACTCTGTTTCTGTTGGTTTCTAGGGTTAACATATGTCTGTGGTTGAGAGAACGAACAAAATGTGACGTTGGATGTTGGAATGGATATGGAACTCTGTTTCTGTTGGTTTCTAGGGTTAACATATGGAGACGTTGAAAAAGTTTTGGATAGCAAAACATGAATAATATATTAAATCTTGATGGTCTGAAAATTTAGTATTATGTATGGAGAGAAAATGTTTAAATGAAGTTGCACCTTTTGAGTACTAACAAGTAAAAAAGCTGTAAGTTCGGCCGGGCCGAACCTTAAATACCCGTCATGTAGCCGTCATATTAGGGTCTTAACGACGACGCGGACCTGCATAGGCAACTTTTGTCATAAGCGATTACAATATTCAAATGCGAAACTTCAAAAAGGTCAGGTACCGTTATATGGGGTGTGTAAGAAGACGTGGACCTGCACAGACAATTTTCTGTCATAGGGTGTAGTATTCATTACGAACTTCAAATTCCACATTTGAAACAATTCCGGTGAATAATGTCGCTAAAATCAACAAAGCACCGAATATCGGGAGGTACTTTAATTGGGGGCTGTACGAAGACAATTTTCTGTCTTAGGCTGTAGTATCCATTTTGAACTTCTAATACCACATTTGAAAAATATCCGGTGAATAATGTCGCTGAAATCGTAAAAAAATAGAATATCGAGAGGTACCGTTACATGAAAGCTATACGAAAACGTGGACTGGCATGGCCCATTTGTGAACTTAATCTGTCTACTGGTAAACAATGTATGTATTAAAAATTTTAGTCTTCTATCTCAATTCGTTCGAAAGATTACAACAGACAGACGGACATCTCTAGATCGTCTTAGAATCTTTCGCTGATCCAGAATAAATATTTTTTGTAGTGTCTATTATAAATATCTCGAGGAGTTACAAACGAAATGATAAAGTTAATATACCCTCCATAGAATGTTGGAGGGTATAAAAATGTTGAAATTTAGTTGTACCTTTAGAGTACTAAAATTGCCTAACACAAACTATAAGAACAAATCGAAATTTTTAAGGGGGACTTTTCGTTGACGTAGTAGCCGACACTTGATGGTCACATGTATTCAGCTTTTGTAGCTTATACTTGAGATGGCATGCTTTTAAATCGATTTTTATATCCTACACCATAGAATGGAGATAGGTATGTCATCCCGTTTGTAACATCCCGAAATATCTATTTCAGACCCCAAAATCTTCCTATCTCGCTGGCGTAAATACAGGGTTGCCCATATTCGACGGACCCATCTGGCAACGCCATAACTTTTGACAGAGATGTCACATCGCTTAATGACATACCGCGTTTGAAGCGTCAGTCTAAGCAGATTTTTACCATGAACCAATAAACGCCACGCGAGCGCTCTTAAATAGAATTTACAAGAAGCCAATTGTGAAAACTCAACGTGCTTTAAAACATTAAAAAATGTGAGAAGTGCGCCTTCTAAGAACACCATTAAGCGTTTATACGAAAAATTTTCGACTGGTAAGGCTCTTTCTAATCCGAAGAGACCATATAAAAGTCGACCAAGGCGATCGGCCGAGAATATTGCTGCCGTACGAGCCAGTGTTGAGAGGTCCCCAAGAACATCCCAAAAACGCCGTTATCAGCAGTTGGGCAGGGCTCGGTCCACTTTACAACGGATTATTCCCATTGATTTGCATTTGTTCCCGTACAAAATGCAATTGACGCAAAGAATGTTGCCTGCGGACAAGCCCCGTGGATTGGAATGGGCCCAAAGGTCCGTCGAATATGGGCAACCCTGTATAGGGCATTTGTTTCGAAAATTTCATGGTATTGGATCCACGATACGAATGAAATAGATAATGTTTTTGTTAATTTGTAATCACGCTATAGGTTACAATTGTAACCTTTCCTTTATACGGGATAATGGATAAGAAGATATCCATTAGTAGTTTTCTTACACTTATTGTACGGTTTTCTAAAACAACACCATTAAATCTAACTACAAAAAAAATATGTTTTTCATAACTTTCAGAGTTTTTTCTTCACTCTTCCATCGATGATACAATATTTTGTACACTTTGGTACTTCTTGTGTCTCAGACATCCGGAGCGGTTTTTGCACAACATTTTATTTGTAATTGTCGCATATTATTCGTGGTGTAAGATCTTGTACATCATTTTATAGTTGCATACCAACAGTTCCACATTCCTTACCAGTTTTCATATAATCTCCCTTTATTCTACATCTATCTATATTAACAAAAACTCAACTTCATGCTATACTACAGGAACTTTTATGATTCCATTTATTTATCAACAGTAAATATCACTTTTAATTGGGCTTCCAAAGATACAGTTACTGTCAATTCCTTTTGAACTGAAATGGCATTACATGGATGAAACCAAAGTAAGTCGCTCATTCCAAGTTTCGTTGATCCTTAACTGGAATTTCATTGTTGTTTGTTTGCAATTTCGATTTTAAATTTAGATTCTTACTTGCCGTACAACGCAGATAGTGTCAGTTTAAAGAATGCACCGCTATATCGGTACACAATGCTCTGGTCATTGTATGCTCTTAAAATAAGAAGGAAATAATAAAAAAAATCCTACTATACACACATTCTCATCAGCAACTGTGCCCTATTTAAAGGAAGAATACATCCAGTTTTTATAACAAAACAAACATAAAGTGAATCTTAAAAAAAACAAACACATACACATTACGGTTTTTCTTAATGACAACTTTAAAACCTAGAACTGGATTTAAACTAGAATACTGTACCCAAATTCTAGACTACTAGTTACGACAAAGATAGTTAAGAAATTCTTGAGTGAAGAAATAAAAAATTTGACGTCATCATTACAGTTTCTGTAAATTAAAAATTCCCTATATCAAAAAATGAGATTCTTAACCATTTCTTCAGGTCGAAAATATTTAGAAATCAACCCAGTAAACCATTATGTTTACAGGTAAGTAGAAAAAA